GTGCTCGTGTGTGAGAACCACAAGTACCTGAAGATTGGGTGCAAAATCTTTAAGAAGCACTGGATGAGGAACATACCCTTAAAATTTCAATTTCCCAGCTTTTCTGGTTGCCGAGTTAGCAATTTTTCCAACAAAAATTTAACACGCCTGTGCATAAAAACCATGCATACCTATGGGATGGGTTTGAAATCCTTAGCTCACATATACATAGAGAATACCCCTGCAAAGTTTCGGCTCTCTATCCTTTCTGGTTCCGAGACTGTTTCTCACTAAAAAAAGTTCGCATATTTTTTTAAGATAAAGTGAAAATCCATGAAAAGTGCACCAGAGCAACCGGTGCACGCCATCATTCACTTTTTATGCGTTTTTTGCGGCTATGCAATGCAAAAACGCATATTGTCAAGGGGTTGTCTGCGTGTGTGTATGTATGTATGTATATGTGTGTGTCTGTGTGTTCGTCTCTGACGAGGCTGAAAACTTAATCTACACATACGTGCGGGCTCATATCATCAATATGGACGCTCAGGTCCGCGTGGTTCTCGCGTAGGGGCACGTGAAAGTTTTTTTGGCGGGAAAGCGTTTTCAGGAACGGCTCATGCTAGGAGGCTGGAACTTCACAGAGACGTTCCTTGGCCGCGTCTAATCCAAAGATTTCAAATTCAGCCTTCACACACCCCTAGCTCTCACGTGCGTACACGTCAAAGTTTAAGCTGGCATCATGCCAACTCCAGATTTGAGCTGATCAATAAGCTGCACAGAGCAGCAATTTTGCAGCTTTACTTGTCGCTTACTGTTGTGTCCGTGAAAGTAAACTACTTTCAGCTCCTCTACATCTTACCTACGAACACGTGTACACAAGTGAAATTTGACGTAACTCTGCAACCAGAGCAGCTAAAGTGCTGAAACTTTCTGAGCGCTACCCAGGACCATCTTTAAGTAACCCCAAGCGAAGAAAACACTCACGTCGCTACTCACGTACGAACATGAGGAATTTGGCGTAACTCCGCAACCGAAGCATCCAGAGCGCTGAATTTTTTGGGCATGGATTGGGAGTCAATATAATAATTTTTAACAGTCATGGTGGCCAGTCACAATTCTTTTAGCTACAAGTATTTGCCGGGAAGAGCGTGCCACTGGCGAAAAAAACCTGCGGGGGAACTATGCAAAAAACGCATCCTCGTACCGGCAGCCGGTACGCTTTCGACTAAGCTGCATATATGCAAATACAATAAATGGCAACGCGCACCAGCCTAGCCGGTGCGATCATGCGTTTTGTGCAATTCAGCCCATCGAACGATTG